GGAACATGGTCAATTGTAACAGCATTTTCCACTTGTGTGTGTGCGTGGAGTGGGGGACAGAGATGTGTGTGTGTGTTTGTGTGTGTGAGTTGAAGGAATCCTAATATCGCTTAAAAATCCAAAATAATTTTGGAAATAGACTAAAAAATGGTGAAGACAGTATTCTAGTCTGTTTGTGTGTTTATAAGTCATTCTACACTTTAAAATTGATAAGAATAATTCTTATTTATACAGTCTCATGGTTTTATTTATCTTCATGTCATAGAAATTGCTTAGTGTCTTTTCTTTTTTAATCTAATTTTTCTCTCTTCCCCCTGTAGGTGACTCTTCTACAGCCTGGTTTATAGCTTTTCATGTTTTAATCTACATTGTATATATTCCCATGAAAGCATTTTGTGAAAATATGAATCATAGACATTATTCTGAAAACTGATTGTCTTACTCTATAGCACTGCATGGAAATTCTCAAAGTTATTTATCATAGTTTTATTTTATTTTTCTAATGATTACATAACATTCCAAAATATGAGCATGTAAAATTTGGCCAACCATTCCGCTGTGAAAGAGTTTGCCCTCTATTGTTTTTTTTATCCTACTGTGAACGTGCCCCAGTACACAACATTTTAAAAGTGTCCTCATAGATAGATAGATAGTGTCCTTATAGATAGATGTATCAAGTGGAGACAATTAACATGATAGATATTGACAGATTTTTTTTTTTTTCAAGAACAAGGCAACTGCACACTTTATGCTTTAGCATACAATTACAATGTTTCCCCCAAATCCTGGCAACAATTTCCTTTATTCAATAAAGTGATACCTCCGTGCTAATAATATTTATATTAGTAGTCTAGGTAGATCAGAAGCAAGCAAATAAAACATCACAAGTTTCTAAGGTAGACGGAGGATGTGGAGTTGGAAAGTACAAAGAAGAGGTATTTATAATAAGTCAGTAATGGGATTCTTGTTCAAAGAGTACTTTAAAGGCTTGATGAGGTCAGGGCTTGGGCCATCAGTACCTGGGCCAGGAGGATGCTTCATGAGGGAAAGAACAGGGAGCAGGAAACGGCAGGCGGTAGGCCTGAACTCCCGGGGCTTAGTCACCCTTTTCTTTCTTCTGTAGGCACCCGCACACATGAAGACTTCCCTTCCTGTGTGGCGGACACACTCTCTCACATACACATATGCAAAAAATTAAAAATATATAAATTTAATTTGTGATGGTGTATCCTTAAGTGGAAAAAAAAATCTGAAAACCTGGAGGAGACAAGCTGCTGTGTCTTCCTTCCTTCCTCCCTTTTATCTTATTTGTGGAAAATTCAAATATGAGAAGGCCATTGGCTATTCAAGTTAAGTTATGAAATAGAGTGCAAAGAACCTACCACTCCTCTGAATTTCTTAGGCTTATTTACGAATGGCACTATTTAAAGACGTGTTCCTCGTTACGGCTTCTTATGTTAGAGTACGAAAACAAGTCATAACTGAATCAGCTAAGGGAAAGAAATCAAGCAAGGAACTTGAGAAAAGATGGTAAGCTAGGCAGGAGAGAGGCCAGAAGAACGCAATCTCACTTTGCAGTCAGGTGATGAAATCATCGACGAAGTGGACAGCAATCGTCGTAGTCAGACTCTGCTGGGCACTGAGGGTGTGAAGAATGGAGAAGCCTCTGGGGGTCTGATAATGCTCAAGTTTACTGCTGACCTGAGGAAGGCTTCACGGAGCAATGGAGATGAAACCTAGTTTGAACGAGTTCAATGTAGTTTTTTTTTTTTTCTTTTCTTTTCTGTGAAATGGAGAAAATCTTTCTTTTAGAAGTATTCTTATAAAATAAAAGGCAGAAATGTGGTGATAGTGAGTTGGGGAGAGCCTGGAAGAGAACAATGTGTGTTTTGAAGATGGGAGGTCTCATAGCACACTTAGGAGTGGGTGTTAATAATTGAGAAAAGTGGATAAAACCGTGCGGGAAAGAAAGGGTTTCCTTGACGCAGTAAAGATCTATCCGTGAGAGGAAATGGAATCAGAGACTTCAGAAGAGAATTTGTCCTCAGGCGGTGGAGAGAAATTTCTCCATTGCGGCAGGGCTGAAGGTTAACAATCTGAACACACCCATGAAGTGAGGCGGGTGGTGATAGAAGGTGGAGTATGCTGAATTGTGGGATCTTAATTATTTTAGAGGTGCTAACACCAGCTAAGAATGGACAGGAAGGAGCAGGGAGGAAAAGTCTAAGGGATCATATGTGTGTGTGTAGGTATACAAATGTAGATATAGATGTAGGTGACATAGATTATAGATATATAGATATAGGTATTTGTATCACAGAATTCAAACATAGGTTAACAAGGGCACTATGGGGGACCCATTTGAAGGCTGAGATCATAGTTTTAAAGCTATGCCAGTCACTCAAGGACCTTTGCTATCTCTAGTCCCAGCAGCTGCTGCTGCTCAAGATAGGAGAGGTGAGGCAGGACGGGCTCCAAAGCTCCCAGGTCTGCTAGCCTGGTGTATGCTGCAGCAATGAAGTAGACTCCCTGTCTGAAACAAGGTGAAAGGCCAATGACGATACCTGAGGTTGCCTGCTGTTCCCACAGGCACCCTGTGACACTTGCCAGTGGTGACACCCATGTACCCACACTCACATGTGAACACAGACACACATTTAAAGAATACTCAAGGTGCACCATGCCTAAGCAGATTGATCTGTGACTGCCACAAGATCCTACACACATCAACACAAACACACACACACACACACACACACACACACACACTACCTTCCCCTACTCCCTTCCCCCACCCACTTCTGTTGGCACACATAAACATGTAAACACACATAAAAAAATCCAAGGCTTATTTATGTTATTTTTTTTCCTGGTCTGTAACATGCTGTCATTTGCGCCTGTAATGCTCTCAGTGGAACTATAAGATATTTAAACAATTACATTAGAAAATGAATTTTGAATCACGTTTTGAGATAACTTTAGTTCTAATGGGTGCAAGATTTCTCAGAAACAAACTGGACCTCCAGCCTCTGCTGGTTTCAATCCTAACTGCAAATTGATGTTTTTGTTTTTGTGCTGTTGTATTGCAGAGAATCAAGTTTGTTCCAAATCTCTATTCTTGCCTGTATCGTATTGGTATTTAGTAATAAAAAAGGAACAACTCTCTGGAGACACAATATTCCTGAGACAATTCTTTTCTTCAAGATATTTGACCTTTTAAGTTTGTTCAAATGGTCAGTGTAAGTTGCTTATTTTTTCATTTAAGTGCAGCTTTTCTTCACTAGCTGTTGCTTTTGGTAACTACTGAAGTACAGCTCAAGTAAAGCTATGCAAGGCTTTTCTACTTCATTATTAAATAATGGATTTTTTTTTTTTATTGTTTTGAGACAGGCTCACTGTGTTTCCCAGAGTATTCTCAATTTCCTGGATTCAAATGGTCACCCCACTTCAGTTTCCCTATTATATGAGATTACAGGTGCCTGGCTAATTTTCACTCCTTGATGCATCATATTTTCCTAAATATTTTAGAGTATAAAATTTATTAATAATAAATTATTAGAGAAATGCTAGAGAAAATGCTTATCTACACCTTGGTTTGACTAAATAAAAGTGCATCAAGGACTTCATCATCTCTTTAAGCCTATTACACTTATTATTTAAAAAAGTGTAATAAAATATAATTTTAAAAGGAATAGGGTTTGGTTAATAGGTATTTATTCTAAAGAATTCATGTTTACTAGGGGCTGAGCACAGGGCTTTGCCATGCTAAGCACACACGACATTGCTGAACTACATCTATGGCCTTATTTCTGGGAAGTCCATGTTTTCCTAAAACCTGGGCATATAAATGAATTAATTTCCTAATTAGACAGTTTGCTTCAAGCAAATGAAAGAAAAAGTAAGTCATTTTAAATGTCAACTACAGAAAGCTGCATTTTAGTCATTAATTTTGTTTGTCTCAATTATACGAATCTCCTAGTGTCTAGAAATTATAATCTAATGAAAGACAGATTAATAAATTGGATATATATTTACTCTTTATTTGTTATTTCTTGTTTTTTTATAATTTATTCACTTTATATCCTGACTGTAGCCCCCATCTCTTCCTGGTCACACTCTCCCTCCCTCTTTCTCCCTGTTCCTTCCTCCCCTAGTTCACAGAAAGAGGGCATCCTCCTCCCCTGCCATCTGACCATAGCCTATCAAGTCTCATCAGGACTGCCGCATCCTCTTCCTCTGTGGCCTGGGAACACCACCCTGTCAGGGAGAAGTGATCAAAGAGCAGACAACAGAGTTCCTGTCAGAGACAGTCCCTGTTCCCCTTACTAGGGAACCCACATGGAGACTGAGCTGCCTATTGGCTACCACTGAGCAGGAGTCTAGGTCCTCTCCACACATGGTCCTTGCTTAGTTAGTGCATCAGTCTCCTCAGGACCCCCCTTGGGTCTGGATTTGTTGACTTTATTGGTCTCTTTGTGGAGCACCTGTCCCCTCTGGGTCCTTCTATCCCCCGAGTCTTCCATAAGACTCCCTGTGCTCTGCTCAAAGTTTGGCTGTTTGTCTCAGCATCTGCCTTGATCCCCTGCTGGGTGGAGCCTTTCAGAGGACATCTAGGCTAGGCTCTTGTCCTGTTTCCTCTCTTCAACCTCTTCTAGTGTCTATTCTTTTGCTCTTCTTAATGAGAATTAAGCATCTTCCCTAGGGTCCTCCTTGTTATGTAGCTTGTTTACTCTCTTTTTTTATAACACATTAATAAATGAGTCAAAATATTTAGTTATTAAAAATTTACTATGTTCTTCTAGAATATTTCCCCACTAAATTATATGCAACATGTTATCTTTTTCTGTACTTAATGCCTTATGTATATTTCAAGACTCCCATTATTTCCCTGTGTGTAACAAATACCTTTCTTTCTTGCAGTCAGTTTAAGTCTTTGGAAATATATTTTTATGTAACATTAAAACATGGTTCTTTTTCTTTTTCTTTTTTTTTTTTTTTAGGAAAAAAATAAGAGGATATCAACAGACTGAAAAAATACTTTCGGAAGCATAGACTCTTGGGAGGATACTGCAGTTCATGAGATCTCAAGGTGAGGTGCCCCCATTATTACTGCAATGATTTCAATTTCATTTACCGTGACGATTACTATAACTGTGTAATTGTCTTAGGTTACAACTGCTAAAGTGTAACTGGGGAAGCAAAAATGTTCTTTCTTTAAAATATATGTATATCTTTTTATTGTATATGTATTGGTGTTTTGTTTTTCTGAATGTATGTCTTTGTAGAGGTGTCAGAAACGCTGGGACTGGAGTTATAGGCTGGTGTGAACTGTCATGTGGGTGTTGGGAATTGAACCTGGGTTCCCTGGAAGTGCAGCTATGCTCTTAAACCAATTTTTTTCTCCTTTTTTGAGGGTAGCACCATCTGCATGAAAATGAATACTAGGTATGTCTATATACTTTATTTCCTGTGTTAAAGAAGTACATTGATGGGGCTCAGCATTTAAGAGCACTGGCTGCTCTTCTAGAGGTCCTGAGTTCAATTCCCAGCAACCACATGGTGGCTCAAAACCATCTATATGATCTGAGGCCCTCTTCTGGTGGGCAGGTGTACATGCAGATACAGCACTCATCTACATAAAAAAAAAAAGAATTACATTGACAGGCAGGCATGGTGGTATATGCATTCAGTCCCTGCATTTGGGAGGCAGGTGGCTGTCTATGAGTTCAGTCTGCATAGCCATGCCAGGCTAGCTAAGATAGTGAGAGCTAGCTTACAAACCCTATACTTCAGGGTCAGAGAACTTCACAAAGAGAAGGTGGAAAGATTGACAAGAGAAGCATGGCATCTGCTGTGAAATAGTCTCTTCTGAATAAAAGAAAAAAGATGGAATATATTTCACATTTGTGGAATGGCAATTTTTCTGAATGGTCAAGAGTATCTTAGAGATCACTTCTAATATATAAGCCTGGTGAAGAAAACAAGACTTTGTTGTTGTTAAACAGCTTGTTATAATAATGACTGATGTAAACTATGGACTTAGAAATTACAATTACAGTGTGGGCTTAAGTGCATAACCATAGGATACTTTCCCAAATTAGAAGATTTCTTCTTCCTTGATATTGTGAGACCAATTGTCATAGATCATAATTTGAAGTAAAAGTTACTGATGGGCTTTTCTTTTGATTTGTTCATGTTTGTCTTCAGTCTGTTTTTTCGTGTTCATCTAAGAGTTGACTCATTTATTTAGGATTTACCATATATAAATCAATAAATTAAATGCTTTAGTTATTTGAAAATGAGTGAGATATGGTCTCTGTTGCCAATGGTTGTCCAATATTTAAGTTCCCCAGAGTTAATTTCATTATTAATTCAATACATGACTTAAAAGAAAAGCTAGATTATGAGAGGGCATGTAATGAATGCCAAAGCCAAGCAGGGATTATCTGGAGATTACTCAAATTTTGAAATCATGTCTTGTATTAGCCTAGAAAACCAAGAGTTTGTACCAAGAAGAACCTTGCTCTGTTTCAGCTCACACTCAGGGATTGCTTTGCAATTGAAAGTAGCTCTGTTTTCAGGGCATGTATAAGAACTTGGAGATTCTAAGGAAGAGGAGGCTCTTTGGCCACACTTGCAAATTGGATGTTGTAGAAAATAGTCATGCAAACACCTATGAAAATAACAGACCAACTCGCTGTTCTACCTTGTTTGCATCAGCCTTTTTACCCTCGCTAGAGACTCAAATCATTTCCAGGTAACTGAGAAGGGCAAAAAGGCTTGGCTGGGGTGAGATGCTATAAGAGCCTAAGGGATCTTACACAAATCACAGCAGTACCTGGACTCTCTCAAGGAAGTTTTTTGTTCATTTGCTTTTAAGTTAATGACTGAAAACATTACACTTTGCAAAGACGAAGGGAGGCCAGGTGTGTTAGCGCACTAAATTTTAACCTAGAACTTCAGGATGCAGGTGCAGGTGGATCTCTGTAAGTTTGAGGCCAACCTGGTCTATATCACAAGTTCAGGCCAGCCAGAGCAACATAGAAACAAACAGGACAAAACTCACAAAAAAAGTCAATGAAAACTCACCATGCCCAGTTTTACCATTAGCAAATAGTTCAATATCACTGACAAACAATTGTGTTTGTGCCCAGAAGTGGAGAAGGAGCAGTGAGCCATGTACACTAATGTCCTCGGCGTGGCAGAAATCACATGCTAGTGATAGATAACATGGGTAGTGCGTGGTGCAGTTGTGTGTTATGTTTGATGGTGTGATGCCTTGGAGAGAAATTACAGGAGGATACAGGGTACAAGTTCAGGTGGCATTCTTTAGGAAGTCCCAATGACTTCCCACTGCACGATTTTCACAAGAGATGGATGTGATGCCACTTTTGTTCGCATAGAACAGCTGTGATGAGATCCAGCACTTGCTGGTAAATTCCTAAATTATTACCCATTGAGTCGAACTTGTTAATGTGTACTACATTTCTCACTTTTGCCAGAAAGATAATGTATTATTTTTAAAAAGATAATGTATTTCTTACTTATATTTAAAATGCCGTTATATGTAATAAGTGGAACTGAATACAGATTTATTTGTTAAATTTACCATTTACTTACTAAACATGCAAAGACTATAACTATTTGACTTTAAATAAATGGCCATTTGTGGGTACCAACAATTAAGTAGCCAGGTTCTTTCTTTTTTATGATAATCTGGTTGGAATTTTCCTGCACATGTTTGGTTTTGTACATAGGAGTGTGAAGATGTTTAAGGCTCAGATGTTCCTTCCCATTTTTCATATCCTATCTCAGCTAGAGCTGAGTCCATCATATTAATTGACATCCTAAAAGTCATTCAGCTTTAACTACACTGGACTCAAAGGAAAATCTTAGCTTTTGTTTGTTTTTATATGTAGAAAAATCATGTCAATTTTACCTCATTTCAAGTCAATACATAGGGAATATTTGGCTATTCAAATACATAAAAGGGAGATTGAATTACAAACTCTCAAAACTGCCAGGTGTGGCACACATTTTGTCTACTTGCTTCCTAGTAACTAAAAACAGTAAACTTTACAAAGTCTAGAAGGTCAGGCATGGTGATGGAATTGTGGGGAAGACAAATTCCAGTATAGCTTCATCTAGTTGAGAATCAAGGCCACTCTGGGCTACTATACAGAGGTAGCTTGGGTCAGAATAACAAAAACAACGACAGCAATAACAGCAAGCAAAAACTAAAACAGCTTAGTACAATAGTTCCTTAAGTCTTTCAAAAGAAGCATATACTAATCATCATATCAACTGAGGAAATTAGGCTTCCAGCATTGCAGTAGCAAAAGGATCACAGAATGGAACAGTATTTGTTTAGTTGCTATCTTAATTAAACTACAGCAGATAGTGTTTATTCCATGATGTAGAGAGATAGAGAGAATTAATGGCTGGCTCTAGGAGCTTACCATAAAGGCAACCTACAGCTGTTTTGAGAAAACCAAAATTTAAAAATAATAGTAATAATGTGCAAGGAAGAGGATTGGTAGAAACTTAGAAACCAGAGACTTCCTGTGCAATGCCAGCGTGTTGATTCATAGATTTATTTCAAACTGATAAGTGACCTTTTCCTAATTCATGTGAAAACTTTTATTTAAGGGCACCTAGGGCATGTCTTTGCCAAAGCAAATGTGTTCTCTTCAATCCCTTTGATTTCATCTTTCCAAAATTTGCTTTACAAATTTGCTATCCCAGGAATCAAACATGTAGCACGTATCTAACTCTCTGTAGATCTTTCTTCCTCTCACAAACCAGCCCTGCACGCAAACAGCTCAACCTGGAGTCACCTGGTTTGTTCCTGCTCTGTTCTCTCTCTCTCTCTCTCTCTCTCTCTCTCTCTCTCTCTCTCTCCTTTTGGCGTCTATTCTCTGTGATTAGCCAAATGACTTTGTGCTTTATTCTTCAGTGATTCTAATAAAGATTTGACCTAATCTGTGGTTCTTAACTTCGGTACTGTTAACATTATGGGATGTTTGGCATCATTTCCCTAGCACCTACCCCTACTACCCCACTCTAAAATGTCTCTGAACATTGCTTATTGCCTGACTGAGTCAAAATAACCCACATCTAAAAATCACTAATCAAACTTTAATGCCTAGAACCTCAAAGACTTACCCACATCAAACGAGGCGAGAAAGTCTCTCGCCTCTAAAGCACCCCTGGCAGTTAAAATGTCTCACTTCTGTCTAAGTGAACAGTACTGCTGGTTGACCACTTGTATTTTTAGATTCCTCCTAATTGGCTTCTTCTTGATTTTATATTTATAATATGTTTTATAAAATAGGAAGCCTGAACTTAAAATGGATGGGAAAAATTAAGATAAAGATGATGCTTTTATTTCCCCCATTTTTTTTTTATAGACATAGGAACATGCTGGTGCTTTTGATCTTTTCATATTCTTTCTCAGTCATGTTTGAAATTTTGCTGCTTGTTCTGCATTGCTCTTGAGCTTGTTCCTCTTAGACAGAACATGTGACCTTGAAGCCACACTACCATGAGTCCCCTCCATCGTGCTGACTCTGCTTTTTAATCTGAGGTAGTCCCTGTGCAGCACCCACTAATCCCTCCCTGCTGACTTGCAGCCAGACACTTCCAGGATTGTCACCCCACACAAGTCACAGAATCTCTCTCCTTCACTCTTCATGCACCTACCATTTTAACGAGAAAATTGAGGTCATTGTGTGGAAACGACCTGTGAATCCTTGCAATTTCTTCTCTATAAACATTCTTATTTCCCTCCAATCTCAAAGCAGGATCAGCTTTCCCTGCTATTCAGGCAGGCGCTGTGTTTGATTTTATCCCTTTTCCACAGGTAGAGACCTTTTGCCATCCATTATCTGACGTTTGTCCTTTGGTGTCAACCTCAGCTTCATTTCTGACTCTGTCTCTACTGACTACTTGGCTCTGTAGACTTCTATCCAAAGCTAAACAAAAACAAACTGATAGCTCTCTCACTCATAGCCCTTCCATTCACTCTCTCTCTCTCTCTTTGCTGCCTCCATTCATTTCCCCTCCTCTCTGAGAGTCACCCAGTCCTCA